AAGTCAATACACATATTATGAAGCTACTTGAGACCTCAAACTGCCGAACTGGGCACAATGTCTCAAAACGACCAGTCGGGTCGTTACAAAAACTAAGGGCACCCACGCCTACAAGATTTTTCCTTTTCTTGAGGAAAAAATAATAAGGACGAAGAAATAATTAAAAAAACACCAAAATTAGAATTGTGGTTCTTTAAGCCAAAATCAAAGAAGAAAAAATATAGAAATTGGAGTGGAGCTGCACATATGAGGGCTTAGGTAACAGTATTCGGTGAGGCACATGTAAACTGGTCAGACACTGCTGTTTTAAGAAAGAGAATGCAAAGTGTCAAGAATGTGATAAAATACGTGAATAAATGAACTCATTCCAAGTGTCAGTCAATCCAGGGAGGCACAAATGAATACAACCAGTGTATGTTGTTGTGAGCAAAGTTATGCTTAAGGGACTAAGTGTGCTAGTTACACTAGGTGTCACCCTCGTGCATAAGAAATTCAGTTATCCCTGGTATAGAATGGTTACCACACAGTGAGTAAGGGTCATTGAAAATGTGAAATGATACCAAAGATGAAGAGGTAAAACATCTACAGGTAACACTTTAGAGCATTAAATGATAGTACTACCCTAAGGGGGGAAGATGATGAGATATGATATTAAGACAAAGTTAAGTGGTTCAGGTAAATATAGAATGTTAAAGGAAGAATGCGGTAAAAAGGAGAAGGAATGAGACTACATTTATTCAGATCGTATAGATATATCATGACTCCAGAATATTATGCAAGAACGTTACCGGAAAGAGGCAATTAGGGTTCCTGACAAATATATTAATTGATACATAAGTGTGAATAGAAACTTGATACATAAGGATCTAGTGTAAGAGGTAAGTTAAGACAAAAAACATAATCCAAGAGAGATTATGCATAATATAGATATGAGAATGGATCGATGAATAGTTAGTAGTTGATTCAGGAAGAGCCTAGTTATGGCTAGACAAGAGCTCTTAGATAAATAAGCAAATCATGCAGGATAAACGTAGTGAACCCCAATATAGAAAATTCAATCTTGGAGATACGAGATCATAATCCTTGAGTGTTACCTAAGAGCATAAGGGCACAAAGATAAGTAACTAAGGAAAATTATATGCGAGAAAGAACATTGAAAATATCGCCGAGTATACGATATAATAAGCTCGCAACTTTACAAGAGTTAGAGGGTCTCCCCTAAATACTACAACAAAACACTAGATGAGGAAATAAGGAAGAAGGCTTTGACCCAAGCATACTGACCTGAATTCAATTATAGAAGAAATGATCTTGTAATAATGATCTTATTAGAATATTGTGCACTCCATAAGAAAGTGGAACCTATCATGGCTAATGCACAAGAAGTAAAATCAAAAGTGATATTCGAGATAATATGAGTCATAGGAAATTCTAGTATGTGTGGGAACTAAGATAAGCAAGATATTCATGCAACAAGTGGCAGAACAACTAAAAAGAGTAATTGCATACGTTTAAAGACAACTGAGAAGGCACGGAAGGAATTTTTCGATCTATTATCCAGAGTTAATTACATTATGAACACACTTAAGATTTCAGTGTATTATCCATGCAACATATATGTTGACATTCTTATAGTAGTAGAACACTCTGGTATAACGTTAAAAGAAAGAATTGAGTCCACGTCATAGATAAAGGATTGAATTGCTAGAAGATTATAATATGAATGTTCCATATCGTCCATGAAATACTAATATAATAGCTAATACCTTGAGCCACATATTGGAAGAAAGATTAAGCCTACTTAAAGGTTGAGGAAGAGGAAACTCAAGAATTACATCATGAGTCCGATTATTAGACTCAGATAATTATAGAAATCGTGACTTAGAACATTGTAGAATCACTCTTAATAGCAAAAGTACAAGAGAGATAGTACAACAGACCTATTCTATAACAGCTCTACGATTAAGCCAGTCAGAAGAGTATCAACCTTAGAGATAACAAAAGATGGAGTAGAGATGACAGGATAAATATGTTCCCCTATTGTTACGGGACTCGCAGACATTACTAGGGCGAGAGAGCATCATTTTTATCATTCGAGTAAAGAATACAGACGATAACATGGTCATAATCTAGAATACTACAAAAAGGAAGAAAACATAATCTGAGACGAGCGACATCATGTGGTCGGCACTTCAAAGAGTTATTGTTATTGTTATTAATATTGTTCTAGTTTTTGTTGATGTCATTTCTAATTAGGAGGAAGTGAAAGTTATAGGGGAGATTCTTCCCAATTTTCTTGAAATGATCTACTAGCTTAGAAATAAGTTTTAAGTTGTTCGTATCTTAACCATAGTTTAATGTCTTAATGTAGGTTGAAGTGTGTCGGACAATATTTACATATATACTAAGCCTGAGAAGAAGCGACAAAGGTATATAAAGGCTATCCCTTCTTTCATTGACAATCCATAATAAGAGAGAGTTAAACAAATTGTATAAGAGAAACGCATACTATAGAGTTTATGTCTCTATAGGTGTTACATCTTCCCATATGTTCTCATCGTATCTTAGTGAGAGGGATTCCTATCCGCCCCATATTGTTCCATGATGTTAGAAAGAGATAGAGAGTTATACATGTACCTTCAAACATTCTACTACATACATGATATACATCATCTTATACATATATTTTTTGTTACCTAGACACTTGGTCAGTGAGAAATATTATTGCCTAGCCACTTGGTTAGTGAGATATGTATTGCCTAGTCTTATGGTCAGTGAGAGTTTTATGTTGCCTGGCCATTAATCAGTGACATATATTATTGCCAGACCACTCGGTCAGTGAGATATACTATTGCATGGCCTTACGGTCAATGAGAACTTTTTGTTGCCGGACCACTTGGTCAATGAATGATATTATTGCTTGGCTAGTTGGTTAGTGAGAGATATTATTGTCTGGCCTTATGGTTAGTGAGAGTTTATAATTTCTTGGCCTTATGGTCAATAAGAGTATATTGTTTCCTGAACACTTGGTCAATGAGAGATACACCGAGCCTTATATATGGTCGGCTAGCTATAATATCACTATATTACATTATGTTAAGTCGGAACATGTAAGTATATCTCAGAGCCTTCTTTGGTTTCCAGTTTACTATGTACTTTAGTTTAGTTTCAGCTTTCGATTATTCTATATCCTTACATACTCGGTATATTATTTTGTACTGGCGTCCCTTTTTTTGGTACCGCTGTATTTAATGCTTGCAGGTTCTGATAGACAGCGGGATAGACTGTCCTAGTAGACAGAGAAAATCATTAGCTTGATTGGTATGCTCCATCCATTCAGAGTTACCAGGTTTAGGTTTTGGAGTGCATTTTGTATATACAGGTTTGATGGGTAGGTTGAGGCCCTATCCTGATCATGGTACAATTCCGTTATCGCTAGAGGTTTGTAGACGAATCTTGTATACTTTGTACATCAGTGTGGTGGCCTTGCTGGACCTTGTATATGCTCAGTTTGGTAATTTTGTTGTAATCATTTATGGCAGCCTTGTCGTCCTGCACAGTTGTGTATATGAGCTTTTGGGTATGTTTATCCTTCAAATGAGATAAGATGTTATTTTCAGATGATTCAGGATATGACCTTGTCGGCTTTAGTTGGTATTATTTGTTTGCAGGCAGGCCTTGTCGGCCTAAGTTGAAGGATTCCCTTAGAGTTACGGTTACAGAGTGGTACCCTCGGGGTCAAGTGTGGCACCGGGTGCCGGCCACGCCTCCTCTGCTTTGGGCGTGATTATTTTATACTCTCTTTTATATAGTAGATTACTCATTTTCACCCATGGACATAGTTCAATTGACCATACCATATTAAATGTTGTATCTCTTTTGGTATAGTTCTCTTTTGTTGTATCATTTATAGTCTTTTAAGATTTGCTTTACTAGCTTCTATATAACATCTTATTATTTCCATTCTAGCAGGTGGTATTAGAGCGAGGTTCAATACAGTTCATATAGGCGGGTTTAGTTCTAGCCGCAACATATTTGATGGTAATCATAATTTGTGTCTGAGAAATTTTACCAGCGTGCTTCTCATATTGAGACAAACTTTGTGGTGGAGAGGAGATGCGACTTGCTGAAGATTATGAGAAGAAGGTCGATCAAGTTTATTTTGTCAAAAAATTCAGTCTAAGGGGGATAATTGTTAGGTGTTTGTCCTGATTTATTGCCATATCTAGTTTTCCTATTTCTTAAAAAAAGGGCAACACATTTATGATAATTGATTTTATATTTTACGAAAAGGAAAATATAATTCCTCTGTGTTTGGTTAATCCTTTTTCTTGGAGGAAAATATTTTGGATTTCTAGAAATTGAGGATTCTTCCTTCTCATTTAGTAGCACATCCACAATGTAGTCCCTAAGGAGTTTGAGAGTCTTGTTTAGGGGGAGAATTTGTGATACAAGTATTATGCTATCACTTGTATATGCCTCTTTGTGAGGTTATTCTCTCGATATTTTATACTTTCTTTATATAGTGGGTTGCTCATCTCCGCCTCTGAACGTAGGTCAAATTGACCGAACCACATTAAATATTTGTGTATCTTTTGATATATTTCTCTTTTGTTGTCTGGTTTATTATCGTTTAAGATTTATTTTACTAACTTTTGCGTGACACCTGATTATTTCGATCCTAGCGATAACTAATAGTCACCTATCGTTTATTTTCTACGAAAATAGAATTTGCTTGTACATTAGTGGTAAATATGTCTCTGTAGGCGTTTACCCAACTGGCAGACTCTTTTCTTTGTGAGACGTGCCTCTATTTCAGGCTCATGAAATGGAAAAGATAAACAAAAAGCCCAAACCTACTCAAAGATATGGAACCACTATAAAAACCCAAGGGTAGGCACAAAAAGAAGATCCTTGGAATTAACCACTAGAAAACTAAGGGCACTCACAGCTACAAGATTTTTTCTTTTCTTGAGGAAAAAATAATAAGGACGAAGAAATAATAAAAAAATACCAAAATTAGAATTGTGGTTCTTTAAACCAAAATTGAAGAAGAATAAAAATAGAAATTGGAGTGGAGCTGCACATATGAAGGCTTAGGTAACAGTATTCGGTGAGGCACGTGTAAACTGGCCGGACACTGCTGTTTTAAGAAAGAGAATGCAAAGTGTCAAGAATGTGATAAAATACGTGAATAGATGAACTCATTCCAAGTGTCAGGCAATCCGGGGAGGCACCAATGAATACAATCAGCGTATGTTGTTGGATCAGCTTGCTGCTCAGGCTTCAGCATTTTGCCTTGTCGAATGGTATGGACAGAGGTGTGCGCATCTTTCCTGTACTCCGATAAAGTGGTGATATTGAGGAAGTATACAGGGACATTTATGGATTGAGTAACATTTGCTGCTATCACAAACAGTCTCTTGTCTGTCCCAGCACTTAGCGGCATTGATGTGTTTAATACTGGGGTTGTCTCCTTTGCACATTTTATCCCATCTGGATTGTTCCAATCCAAACTCCTGCAAAGGGTTAACCAAGCAAGAATTCAGAAGATTGTCATAGTTGGGTATCTGTTACAGCTTATTTGACGAGGGATTTAACTTATATAGACTGAATATAACTTTTTTTAAATATTATCAGTGTACTTAAAGTTGCTCTATATAGTATGTAACATACATTACTTTTCACAATTGCATGTAATTATCTTTTAGGTAATGTAATCTGTTATAGGGATTACTTGATATGAAGAGGAGACATGCTCATGAAAAAGACTCTGGTGCGATTGGTATCCACATTGTTATCTATCCACTGCGACCATGTTGTCAAAACCCTCCGATAAGCTACTGGTCTTTCAATCTCATCGTATTCTGTCGCCCCTTCATCGAACGAACCTCGTCTGTTTTGTAAGAAAAATATCAAACATAAATGTCAAATACTGAAGCGGAAGTAAAATCAAGCTGGACTTAATTTGAGTAATACTTACAGAACTTTCATGGCAAAAGTATTCATCCACCAAATGTATGTGTTGAAGACGAGATAGTCCACATTCTTCCAGTGCTTGCCATGCTTTTCGATTGATTCGGGCATTATGATTCGGTTCAATATACTATGCATATTTGGATCATCCGAATTTGATTCCACTAGAAATGGGGCCCAGTAAAATTCCACTGTGGCATTATAATCCTACATATTCACATTTACATCTATTATATTAAACAGATACAAAATTCTTCCCAGAGGGTAGTGAGAGTTGTCCAACAACTATCCATAGATGGACAAACCACTTCACCAGCATTAGGTGGACTTAATATGTCGGTCTTCTTGTAGATAATTCAATCCAACTAATCAAATCTTAAACAATATGCAGCATAGCTCATTAAATTAAAGTATATAATCAAAACTATTACATGGTTATAACTTAATGAGTTTTATAAGCAATCTGTCACCTTCAACTAAAAGTAATTGTTCATAATATGTGGAACTAATTTCTTGGGAAAATGAGACAATAAATCTGTTATAACTTGTCAAATAAGACTGATATGTAAAAACATTTATGCTGAATCAAGAATATATATATGAGCGATTAATAAGGTGTCATTAATTAATGTCTTTCCTAATAAGAGTATATATGAGTCATGTATGAGGGCATAATCATAGTGTTGGAGGGCGAAGCATATATGAGATAATCAAAGCTAACGCTACTTCTTCAAAAGGGGAAAAGCGAAGATATATACCTCGATTCTGAAAATAGATAAAGAACCAGTCTTGTTTAAGCTTTTTCTGCCTGGTGGAACCGCTGATTGAACTAAACAAATCATGGATTCCCATTGATTTCTGTTCAGCGAGTCTCCAACAAACATGAGTCTCTTGTTTCTCAGTTTCTTAAGCAGCAACCTTGGTTTAAACCTATAAATTTAAATACCAAAATGTTATTGAAATAGAAAGATAATGAAAGACTAAAAAATCAAGAAAACAGAAAATGATCCACGTCATACTTGGGTAAAGAACAGTCTCTGGGTTGCCACCTCCAATTCTGATACATGGAGTCCTTTCTTCCATTTCTCATGCAAGTGACCTGTGCTGTGAGAAACTCACATTCGGGCTCTTTGTAAATTGGGTGAGTGACACAGTCATAAATCCATTGTCCTGTAAAAAGATCACAATCCTCAGGTGGCAACTCAATATTCTCCTCTTCTTCATCAACTTCAGTAGTAGGCATCTGTGTTTCTGTTTTCTCGTCATCTTTCACTTCATCATTGTACTTCAAGCTGGCAACTTCTTGTTCAGAGCTACCATCTATTCTTGTAATTTCTTGAACCTCATTTCCCTGATTCAAAGGTTCATTGCTGATATCTTGAGTTCTGGTCATGGAAAATGGGAATTCAGCTATTGTCTTAACGTCTTCATTGTACATGAAGCATCCAAAGAGGAATATTGAAAATACCACCACAAATATAGAAAATGTATTGTTCTTTCGGCCACTGTGCTTCATCCTGAATAACTTGGAGGAGAGCAATGGAGTTTTTCGGAAGCGAAATGAATGCATTTGAAGGAATAGAGGAAGATGTGATGTGGGAAATCTTATTGGTGACAATAGGAAATATAGAGGAAGAAAAGAGTGAAATATAGACTGACATATCCAATAATTTATGTGAAGAGTCTAATTGGTAGTTTAATTGAGATTTGGTGAAATGGTGTTTTCTGTAAGAAATTCGAGCATCAGTGGCTGGAGAGTTGTCCATCTCATGTTTAGATATATGCTTATGATCTGTTTCAAACTACTTTGTTCCTCCTACTCCTCCAGCAAATTTAACAACTACTATTAGATGTGTGTGTGAGAGAGAGAGAGTAATCAGATAAGAGTGAGATTTGATCTTTTCTTGAATTTATATATTACTATACTATATTTTCGTTGACATATTTTTTGGATTACTTAAGACATTGAACAAGTCATGGAAACACCAATGGGTTGAAGATAGTCATTTTCTTGTTCCATTTGTACCTCTTTTTAAGTACGTCTACTGCCTGGTGAGGTCTTTGGAAATACAAAAATGTTCGAAACTGCATGTGGTTATTTAATTCATGAAGCAAGTGAACTACAAATACCAGAATAATCCACCATACCGTACAGATCCAAGTCAGAGTTAGTTACACACTTACCTAAAACATTTTACTTAGCATGTCGGATTATGTTAGCAATTGGTCTACCTATTATAACAGAAATACGTCAGACTCTAGGTATGAAAACTCAATCGTTTAATTCCTCGAACTTATTCCAATAGTAGTGAAGCAGACTAAGGAAATTAATTGAACTAAGCGAGATAATATATGTTACTACTCTTATGATGGCAGTGGCCAGTCAACTTAAGTGCTTCTCGAATATTTTACTCTTAAGCATAGATTGATGGGAAAATGTCAGTTTTTGTCTCCGCCGGAATACCCTAATTTTCCATAATTTTCACCCACAAAAATATTTTTTTTAATTTTATTTGGAAGTTTTGTTGTTCTTTTGCCAATGAATATATTAATTTGCCAACAGAGAATGAGGCCGGAGCAGGTGGGATGTCATGATTATTATATTCCTAGTAAGTTATCTTCCAAAGTAGTTCTGATAAATTGATGATTAAATGAACTCTCATTGTCACCAACAACCCAAGGTGAGGGAGGAAAGGGGAAGCGGGAAGAGTTGATGCATCATAAGTCATTAACTAAGATTCTTAATCAATAATTAATGTGAGGGTCCAAGAAGTATAGAAAAATGAATAATGGTTAGCTTTAATTATGTTAGAGGAAAGTAAAGGCTACGGAAACTTTTGTTCTTATACACCAACAATTGAATCGAATGTCCACTGTCAATACTTGCGGTTTGCTCCTCATTTCAAATGTTTGTCTGACAGATGACCTTTTGCATCCCTTTCTTTCCAAGGCACGACACCTTTCTGCAATTGCAATTTTCCCATCTTCTAAAACCGGCACTCCAAATATGTTTTTAACTAAATATTTACTAGTTACAAGAATAGATTCGTCATGGAATATCTTGATATTTTTTTAAATGTTGTTATTCATATGGCTACTTACAAAAAGTTATGTAATATTACGAGGGGCATAACTATAATATTAGCTACGGGATCACGAATTTAGTAACTTTAGCTTAAACCTTGTATATGTATCAGAAAATATTTTAAATATGTATAAATATATAATTATGTATAGAATATAGACTATTATTGCAAAATTGTGTAAAAAAACTTTAAAATACAAATATATTTATAAAAATAAATTAAAATATAGCATTTATGTGGATGCAAATAATAGATTTAGATTATTAAGTCATCACAAAATAATTTGAAAGGGTAATTATTAAATATTTGAACAATTTAAATGCAAGAAAATTAATTCCGAAGCCTTAAAAATTATGAAAAATTACAAAAACAATCTATATGACTATTGTAAATTGGTGATGATGCAAAAAGGATATTTTAAAAGTATATATGACATTTATAAAACATGAGGTCAAAATTGGGTATGAACAACTGCCCCTCTTTACCCAAAAATGATGAAAAAGTTGTCGGGTAAAGAAAATGATGACCAATTTTGTCCAAAGTGAGTGGGGAATGATGTGTTTTGAAAAAAAAGGGAGCCGGACCCTGGTTCTTGAGTTGCCTACATATCCCTAGTGTTACGGGAATCAGGCCGTGTGTAGTTTTGGATCCAACGACGAACGAAACCGATGGAGTTGTTATAAGAGTGGTCGTGTATTTCGAAAAGGATCTTTTGGATATGATAGTGATATGAGTAACGAATGATTTCAGGTCGAGCTATGAATTCGAATTTGAACGTTACAGATGTATAAGGCAGATATTTGAACGATTATAGAACAAAGGGTAATCAATTGCTGATCATTGGTTACATTTGAGGTGATCGAAAGATGTGAACATTGTGAATGGAAACCGGAGCATGAATTGCTCCTGTTTGTAGAACGGTTACCTCCCGAGTTACATAAAACACGATACACACGAGTATATATAGGGTTATTGCGAAAATCTAAACATGATGCAAATTCCCTTCGGACCATGTGAGTTGTCTTTAGATGATATGATATCCTTAGACCATAACATCTTGGGCCATGAAGCGTATGATAGGGGATTTGCATGCCATGAAATGGTATCTTTGGGCTATGAGGATGATGCCTTTGGACTATGACGCCTTTGAATAATGATGTGAAGTTTCGAGGGATACTCAGGCCATGGAATGGTGTCTTCAGGCTATGAAGATGGTGCCTTCGAACTATGATGCCTTCGGATAATGTGGCGATGTTTCAGCCCATAAACTCCAAGTATGTGGTAATATCGATCGTTTGATGGAGGAAACATGTATTGCTTAGTCATGTGCGAGACGAGACGAGACAAGGCTTGGTCTTGTATGAAATGAGGGTAGTGCTTAGCCCGAAGCAAAGAGTGAAGACAATGCTTAGTCTCATGCAAGTAAAGCCAGTGCTTAGCCTTTTTCAGTAGTGAGGCATTTCTTAGGCTTATGCAGTATGAAGGCAGTACTTAGCCTCATGTAGAGAATGGAGATGGTGCATAGTCTCATGCAAATAAAGGCAGTGCATAGCCTTATGCAATAATGAAGGCAGTGCTTGGCCTCATGTAGAGAATGGAGATGGTGCATAGTCTCATGTAAATAAAGGCAATGCATAGCCTGATGCAATAATGGAGGCAGTGCTTGGCCTCATGCAAGGAATGAAGATAGTGTTTAGTCTCATACAATGAAAGGAATGCTTAGCCTTATGCAATAATGGAGGCAGTGCTTAGCCTCATGCAAGGAAAGGCAATGCTTAGCCTTATGCAATAATGGAGGCAGTGCTTAGCCTCATGCAAGGAAAGGCAATGCTTAGCCTTATGCAATAATAGAGGCAGTGCTTAGCCTCATGCAAAGAATGGAGATAGTGCTTAGTCTCTCACAAAGAAAGGAAATTCTTAGCCTTGTGCAATAGTGAGGGCACTGTTTAGCCCTATGCAGGAAGAACAACGATTAAATAAGAGGGGGAAAAGTAATTCTTAGAGTGGTGCGTTTGTGCTTGGCGACTTATGTCGGTATGAAGATAGTGAACTTGTTGTATGTATATATTTGTGGACGTTCTTGTTATGTCCATTGTGCCTGCATCAAAAGAAAAATCATGAGTTTTGGAGGGGGGAGGTTGGTTCGTGCTCTCGATTCTTTGCCATGCATTCACTCTTGTCCTGAGCTCCTATTTGACTCACCCCGGGTGACGTCTAGCTACTACAAAAATGAAATTTTCGAAAAACACGCATTTATGATAAATCATTTTTATAAAAATGTAGTTGTTAAAAAATATATGATAATGCATGAAAGAAAATAATTTTGTCGGATCAGTGATTGTGACATGATTTTGAGACATTACAACATCCTTAACTCGGAATTTTGAGGATCCTCCTCAAAATTCTGCCCTAGTTTAAATGAATACTTCTAGCGATACATTTCTTGGTAATTCTTAATACAATGACATCTAGCAAACTCGAGATCTTACTCCAGTTTTTGACCATAGCGGGAATGGAGATTTTATTATGATGTGACCGAACTAACAGGGCTTATGTATCCCCTCTTAAACGAGAATCAAGTCAAGCGTAGTTTAGGTTACATCAAATAGAAAGTGCAAACATAGTCTTAAACATAATATCTCTTAACTGCATTCGAATTAATAAGTTTTGGCCAAATCACTCCATCTATCTCTGCAAGTATAAGTGCTCCTCCTGTTAGTACTCGATGAACCATGTAAGGGCCTTGCCAGTTGGGTGAGAATTTTCCCTTTGCTTCATCTTGATGTGGGAAAATTCGTTTCAGCACCAATTGCCCTGGTGTGAATTTCCTTAACCTAACCTTTTTATTGAAAGCTCTTGCCATTCTGTTCTGGTAGAGTTGGTCGTGACACACTATGTTCATTCTTTTACCATCAATGAGAGCTATTTGTTCATACTGGTTCCATACCCATTCCGCGTCGCTAAGCTAGCCTTCATGTATAATGCTTAAGGAAGGGATCTCCATTTCGGCAGGGATAATAGCTTCGGTACTATAGACCAGTAGATAAGGAGTTGCCCCAGTTGATGTACAAACTGTGGTGTAGTATCCGAGTAGAGAAAATGATAGCTTCTCATGCCATTGTTTATAGTTGTCCACCATTTTCCTCAATATCTTCTTGATGTTCTTGTTGGCGGCTTCTACGACTCCATTTATTTGTAGTTTGTATGTTGTAGAGTTCCGATGCTTGATCTTGAATGTTTCACACATGGCTTTCATCAGATCACTGTTGAGATTGGTGGCATTGTCAGTAATGATTGACTCGGGTACTCCAAATCGACAAACAATGCGGTCCCAGACAAAATCTGCTACGACCTTCTTAGATACAGCCTTATAGGACGCGGCTTCAACCCATTTTGTGAAGTAATCTATAGCCACCAAAATGAACCTGTGTCCGTTTGAAGCAACGAGTTCAATTGGTTCGATGACATCCATTCCCCAATAAGAGAAAGGCTAGGGTGAATTCGTTGTATTGAGTTCGTTGGGTGGCACTCGTATCATATCAACATGTATCTGGCATTGGTGACACTTTTGAACATATTTGATACAATCAATTTCTATAGTCATCCAGAAATACCCTATTCTTAATATTTTCTTGGCTTAAACAAAACCTTTCATGTGCGGTCCGCAAGTTCTGGCATGTATTTCTTCGGGCAATCTAGATG